ATAAATTAAGAGGATTTTCTCATGGAAGCAGCACAGGCTTGTAAAGAGTCAAACAGCACAGAAGGGTATAATGTGAAAAGTAACATTTCCCTGATCCCACGCCACACACACACACACACACACACACACACACACACACACACTGTCTTCCCAGTCACACTTCCCAAAGGAAACCATTGTTAACAGATTATTTGGGATTATTGTAGTCATTAGCTATGCATTTCCTATGCATGTGCAAATATACACATACCGTGTACACATATTATATGTGTGCATACACACATACATATATACATAAACATACATGCATGCATGCACCCTGTGTTTCAGAGAGCCTTTGTCACATAGACTATCATGGGATAGAATGTGAATAGTGTCCCCTGGAATTGTGCAGCATTGTGCAAAGGAACAAGAGTATACACACACACACACACACACACACACATTAACATTTCTCTTTTAAAAAATATAAATGGAGTAATATTAAATAAATTATTTTATAACTTGCCTTTCTCAATTAACAATATATCTCAGATGTCTTTCCATATCAGTGTACACAAATCTGCTTGATCATTTTTACCTGCTTCATAATGTTCAATTGTATAGATGTATCTTAACTTATTTAGCCAATTTGTTTTTGATAGAAATTGGAGTCACTTCCAGTTTTTTTGCTACTACTAACTGTGATAAATTATTATACCTATTTAAATTATATATGTATATTTTTATAAGCTTAAGGTGCATATGCATGTGTGCAGCACATAAGTTTTTGTACTTAATATGCATTTTCATGAATATAGATCTATAACATCATTTTAATGGCTGTGTATTATATTATATTATATATCATATAATTTATATAATGAATGTCCTACTATTTTGGATATTTATGTTGTTCTTGATTTTTCACTATTATAAACAATGTAGTGTTAAACATTTGTGTATTTTAATCTTTGTGCATTGGTCAAACTTATTTTCTTTGGATACATCTCTAGAGGTAAATTTGCAATGTCAAAGAGTGTGCATACTTTTAAAAGTAGCCACTTCATTTAAAGGAAAAGACTGTCAATTCTGTTGTGCAGAATCACTGAATGGAGGTCCTCAGATATGTTAGCCTAGGGGAGAAAGATTTACATCACATAGGTTGGTGGTTTCCAAACCTGGTGTGGTAGGCAGAATAACAGCCCCAACGGCGGCGTCCACATCTTATTCCCCCAAACCTATGAGTTTGTTATGTTACATGGCAGGGGAAACTAAGGGTGAAGATGCAATTAAGGTTGCTAATCAGCTGACCTTATAAGAGGGGGATTATCCTGGATTATCTGGGGCCCAATGTAATCACAAGGATCCTGAAAAATGGAAGAGGAAGGCAAAAGAAGGGAGTCAAGGGAGATGTGATTATGGAAGAATGATCAAAGAGATGCAATGTTGCTGGCTTTGGAGATGGAGCCAGGAGGCCATGAGATGAAGAGTGTGGGCAGCCTCTAGAAGCCAGAAAGGGTTAAGGAAACAATTCCTCACCTAGAGCCTCCAGAAGGAATGCAGCCTTGTGGTCAGCCTGATTTTGGCTTAATGAGACCCATGTAGGAGGACCACTAATCTCCAGTATTATAAGTTAATAAATTAGTGTTTCTTTAAGCCACTGAGTTTGTGATAATCTTTTATAGCAGCAGTGGGAAAGTGATACACCTTATATATTAAGGTGTATCACTTATATATTATTATTAAGGTTGCACATAACACTCAGGGCAGGGTGTTGGGGGGGCGATGTTCCTTACCCACAGACACGCTGATTCAGTAGTCTAGGAAAGAGCAGAGGAGTATTTATTTTCAACAAGCTCTCCAGGTGATACTGAGGCATCCAGAGGGGATTTGAGGAAGCACTGACATAGACCACATAGGTCTGCAAAAGTAACCATCTCCTGTTACAGAGACAGTCACTTGCTGGCCTGGAGAAGGGTCTAGGTAGGGGATTGAAGAGTGGCTGGGGCTGACCTGGGCCTCCAATCTGACACTGGCACCAACCTTAACTCCACCTCCCAAGAGACGGTGTCATTCAACCTCATCAATCTAAGCCTTATCTACTTTTCCAGCTTGATTTTCAGCTTCTCATCAACCCAAACACTGCACTCCAGCCAGACTAGTCACCACCTATTTGACAGGTCTTGGGATTTCTTCCTCTGTATTTGCTCTTAAAATTCTGTATAAGCTTTTGTCAGCTGAGTTCTGTGGAAAGCAGTGCTGAGAAGTTAGGGGTGTGAGAGGTTTATTGGGACTTGGTGGCTAACACCTGTGAAAGAGAAAAGGGAGAGAAAACAGGATTAAACAGGGAGGTACTCAGACCACAATGCAGATCTGACAAAGTCCCAGCCAAGTCAATGGGGGCTCTGGAACAAATATGCCCCTTAGAGGGGTCCCACATTTGCACAGAAATGGCCAGAACCTACTACTCCTATAACGCTCAGTCGTTGGATGGAGGACACCTACAAGGAGTGTAGCCAAAGCAGACCCTAAGGTGCTAATAGATGGATGCATTCAACTAACTATACTTCTTGCAGCTAAGTGGCAAATTCTTTCTTGAAGGGAGTTCCTGGCAGCCCCCTCCACGGCTGCTACAGTTCTCCCTTCTGCTCTTCAGTTATCCCGATCCTGGCTGCTGCTTTGAGACTCAGTATGGCAGCTGTAGATAGCTCTTGCCATAACTACTACATTTATTTCAAAATACAGGCTCTCAGAGCTGAAAACAACCTTAGGGATCATCTCATTTTACACATGGAGAGACTGAGATCTAGGGGGAGGGCATGGGGGAGGGAGGAGTGACTGATTCAAGATGACAAAGTCAGCTAGTGGCAGAGCCAAGACCAGAACCCAGGAGTCCTAACTCTCAGTCCAGGTTTGTAGCAGCAGTAATAAAAAGGAATCCCATCTTAAAAAATTAGCAGAGGGTCATGGTTTTCAACTAAAAAGCAACTGTAATTGCTATAAATAAATAGGCTCATTAATTTGCTCCTAAGCCTGCAGTATCATGAAAATGAAGAATAAAAAAAGCAAGCATATCTTTGGGAAGATCTCCCAGGCTTAATTTATATATTTATAAAGAAATAGTAATAGAACTATAATGCTTATGAAAATGCTATAGTCCAGTTCATTTCTATAATCACTATTAATCTATAAAAATTCACAGTAACATGCTGTTTTAAAATCTTACACATTAAAGGATTGAAATGCACCATTGCATCACTTCACATTTAGAAAATACAAATGGCTTACAAGATTCTTTTCAATTAATTATGTTAAGCTAGGGAAATAATTAGTGAAAGTTCAGTGTTCATTGTTTACATGGGAGAAAAATAAATGTTGTGTTCTAGCTAGCATTTATTTGTGGAGGAGTGATTTTATTTTCAGTTGTATATATGTTATTGGCTTTTAGAATGGAAAAGTACTTAAACACAAGTCTCAATTGGATTTGCAAGGAACATTCTTATTTGGGATTTTTAAAAGATAGTCTTTGCTAACAGAAATAGGAAATTGTCACCTTCTTTTCTTTTTCAGAGACAGGCATCATTCAAGTATGTGAGAGTTTCCAGTCTATTTGAAATGATTTCAATTCTTCCAGATTGTAAAGGTCAGAAATGGGTGTGCATTTGGGGGCGTTGGTGGAGGGCGGAGGCAGATAGTGAGCAGCAGCCAATCAGGCCACTTGTCAATTTCTTAAGCCTGTATAGAGAAACATGAATGGGTTTTATGCGCTCTTGTCCTATTGGGCTCCAACTTTCCAGTTTCAAGACCTTCCTTGATTGATCTGGTGGAAAAAATTCTACCTCCCCTGCTCTGCCCAATTAGTATCTCACAAGATTGGCAACTAGAGTGTAGACGAAGCCACACAGGCAACACACAGGAGCCAAGTACCCCACGTTAGTGTGTGAAAGGTGGTATGCATCTTGTGGCAGGAGAGTGGGTATTTTTTTAATTGCATGAGTGAAATGCCAAAGTGACTCAAAGAAATGCTTTTCAAGCTAGCTCTTTGGAAGTAAGGTGGGAAAGGAAAAACAAGATGGATATAGAAAGCCAGAAATCAAAGTCTGAGATTAAGTAGCAGTTGATGTGGCCAGAAGTTTACCTGTGTGTCAGAGGAGCGGGAGTCTCTCAGGGCCAGGAAGTCTTCTCTTTCCTTTTTATCAAAGCAGGAAAATTGATTACTGCTTTCAGCTTTATTCAAGAGAGAGCTTCCAGGCATTTGCAAAGAAATGTTAACAGATCACCCAAGCTACATAAGATGCCAGCTTTACTGGAATCATTTCTTCTTCTTCTTTTTTATTTCATCATACTATGTGGGTACAAATATTGTTAAGGTTACGTATATTGCCCTTGCCACCCCTCCCCCCCATCATTTCTTCTTTTACCTAAACTATATATTAAGAGTTCAATTCTGATGATATGTTATCTTCTAACACAGATGAATCTTTCTAGAATGAGCTATATGTCACAAGGGCTAGAATCAGCCTCCATCCTGAATTTTCCCGACCATCAACTAAAAAAGAACATGGCTTTTGAAGGTAAATAACTTTGAGAGAAAATGTACTAGTTAAGTCTTTTCTCCTCTTACTAAATCTAGTAAATATATGTATCGTAACACACTGGAAAAACTGTTCTTGAGACGGGAGAATTACTGTATTAAAGCCAAGATCACTAATCCACTCATGCAAGAGTTGTAGTCTTTATTTACATAGCAGATGGGAGGGAAAAATATGTAAGAGCCAACCTGATATTAACCTTTGATAAGAATTACGGTAGAGAGAAAAGATCACTGAGTTCAGAGGCCTGGGTTTCGATCTTGGCTCTGCTACTGGCTGTGTGATCTTGGACGGGTCATTTGCCTTTGCTTAGCCTCAGTATCCACATATATTAAATGAAGGTAATAATTCCAATCCCAGGGTTGCTGGAAGTTTGAGTGATGGATGTGAAAGAACTTAGAATTCAAAACAGTGCCTTCCGAAAAAATTCAGTTTTATTATTATTCACTCTCTGAGCTATTACACAGCAACAAGCAGGATGTAGATTGGAAACATTGACAGCAGGGACTTCCAGGATTGTCATGGGGCGAGTACCGAGCTCAAACTAGACACAAGGCTATCTATCAGATTGGGAAAATGAATGAGTTTGAGAACTTGTCATTTTATCTGGAATAATCTGCAGGGAGGTCCTGCTGCCATGTCTTGGATGAAGCCTTGCCTTTGTCCTTCGACTTAACTAAAGATGCTAGGGGTATCCATGTGGGTGGCCCCAAAAGTTTGGTGTTGAAAAGAAGGCAAATATTTCCCAGATAGCAATTACTGTGAAAGAGCTAAAGGAAAAGTTACATTGTTAATGGAGGCCCCCTTGGAAGGCTGGAAAGCTCTGCCAAGGTCCAGACAAATGCCTGTGGGGTGTCAGATGCCAGAGTCCTCGTACACAGAGCAAAGGAAGACAGAAACTCATGGAACTGCATCTAAGAAATGCTCTGGATGCAGAATAAGTTCTGATCCAGCCACAGGCCCAACTTGGGACAGGGCAGTTTGCTTAATTTCCAATAAATAAATTATTAGATTTCTCAACTATTCCATTTGGGATCACTTTTCTTAGAAATGAAGAACCAAATTTTTCCAGTGAAAGTATTTCATTCATCAGGGCCAGGCTGAGACTTTTCAGCTTATTTTCAGACTTTGAAGATGTAGGAAACCCACAGCCTCAATCCATTCTCAATGGGTTTTGCCCACCCCATTTTAATTTTGCTTTTGGTAGAGGCCACAGTCTGGTTAAGGCTGGAAAGCTTCATGCTGTTCTGGTATCTCAATTCAGCTGGAAAATTGAGACAACCCCATGGAATACCATGTGGTCAGTTTGGGTTTGAAGGACCCTGCTAGGGCAGTGGCAGGGGCCTCTGATTTCTAAGTAAAAAGGCAGCAAGGGCGGTGAATGGTGGCATGAACAAGCAGGTCGGCCTCTATGCTCCCCATTCCAGATCAACTCTTTTAACCACTTAATAAGCTTGAAAAGCCCTACTGTAAGGCATAGGTGCCAAGGAAGAGAAGTGCACAATTTTAGGGAGAGCATAAACTTGCTCCTAATTCAATGCTGAGAAACAAAAGAGGACAGTGACGTCTCTAGACCGTCTGGATTCACAGTAGAAAATCACAAGCAGGTTTGAGAAAAAGAATTCTTTTCTTCAAACTGAAGTTCAGTAAAAGAACAGATCTTTTCTTCTCTCTGGAGACTGGCTTCCTGAAAAACAGGATAAGCATGATGATGAAAAAGCTGGCTCTCAGGTCAAAGGAGACTAGGTTTGAGTCCTGGCTTCGCCACTGCCTAGCTGTGTTACTTTAGGAAAGCTACATGGCCTATCTGAGCACCACTTTCCTCATGTTAAATGAGGATATTAATAATAACTACTTCCCAAGAGTCTGGTGAGGATTAAGTGAGTTAAACACGTATCAAACCCTTAGAACAGTGGCCAGTACATAAATATTCAATAAATGTTTACTATTATTTTGTTAAAAACGTAGTGTCTCTATATGTGTTAGAGTCAAATTACTGTGTGATCAAGCTGCATTTTAGCTTTGTGGGTAAGACCAAGGACTTTGAAGTCAGTGAAAACTGACTCTGGCACTTACTTTGACTTTGAACAAGTTACTTAATCCCCTAAACCTTAATTTTCCCATGCATGAATGAGGATAAAAACAAAACCTATGTTGTAGGTAGCTAGCTACTGGTTCTTATTTTGCTTCACTTTCATGATTTTTGTCTTTCTCCTCATCTCCGATGACCTTGTACTTCACTCTACCTCAGCCATCCATTCCCATGGTCACATGCTAGATTTTGTCATTGCCCACACAGGTGAGACCTTTGCAATCTCAGTTTAAAGCACCCATTATCCAACCACCACCTCCTGCATCATTGGCTTAAATAGTTTCATCACCATATTTTTACATAATTTCCAATCCATCAACCTCCATTAGCCTGTCAACTTCCATCTGCCTCCATATCCTTCTTTGTGCAGCTTGGATACCACGGTCTCTTGTTACAATCATTCACTTGCGATTACCTTCATCTCCTTTTCCTTATTTTCTATCTACCATGCACACTTGACACAACCTCACCTCTGGCTGAGGCTCCCCATCTCTGCATATTACACTAACCTAACACCACTGGTGAAAATCACAGAACCCAGCCAACTATTTGCACTTGAAATTCATGATCTCAGACTTCAGATCAACTATTTAAAAGGTATATGCCCTTGGATGTCTAATAGGCACCCCAGACTTAACACGGCCAGAACAGAGTTGTGTTTTCCTCTAGTCTTCCTCATCTTAACTCATGTACCACCATTCATCCAGTTGCTCAAACAGAAACCTGAAAGGTAACCTGGATTCTTCCCCTTTCTCCCACCCTAATCCATTGGCAAGTCCTAAAAGCTAACCCTTCTGCATAGATCTCAAATCCAGCTACTTGTATCTTTCTCTGCTGCTGCCACCTCCTCCAGGCTATCATCCTCTCAAGCTTGCCTCCTAACTGGTCTCTTTCTTTTCATTCTTGCCTTTCTTCAATCCATCCTCCCCACAGCAGCTTTTGTGACCTTAGCAGATGCAAATTGGGTCACACTTAAAACCCTTCCATGGCTCACTAAATCACTTAGAATATGAAATTGAAGCTCCCCAAATGACCTATAAGGCCCTGCATCACCTGGCCCCTGCCTACCTCTCCAGCCTGTCTCATGCCACACTCTCCCTTTCTCCTTGCACTCCAGCCACACGATCTGCTTTTCCCTTCCTCACACTCACCCGAGGCCTTTGCAGGGGCAACTTCCTCTATCTCCCTCCATTTTCACCCTAAGTCTTCCCCACACTGGCCTCTCTCCCTCCATTCAGGTCTAAAGTTATCTAAAGTGGGCCCCAATTTTCCCCTATTTCAACACCTTGTGTGTTTTCTTCACAGCACTTATCATAACTTGCAAGTATTTTGTACTTTTCCTTTTGGGAGAGGGATATGTCTCCCCTGCTAAACTATTAGCTCTATGAGGGCAGGGACCAAGACAGTGTCATATTCACTGTTATATCGCCCATATGTATTACAGCACTGTGTCTGGCAAGTAGCAAGCACCAACTGTCATTATTATCTGTGTACATTGAAACAATGCATAACCAGTGTCTATTTCTACAGATTAAAAAAAATAAAATTTACAAAAACTTTTGGCATCAGTGTTTGTGGGACTCACATCCAGAACGTCCTTCTCCAAGGTCTGACCACCCTTCTGGCTCTAACTTCTCTTCTGCTGCGCATGGCCCCTGTCTCTTAGGTGTGTGACAGCCTGCATGAGGGGACTTAGGTCCATAGTGCAGGAGGAGGAGGACACATTGCCTTCCTTCCTTTGATAAATATTTATCTGGGGCCTCACATATGAAATCTCTCAGAACTACTGAAATTCCTACTGAAAAAGGCTTACGCAATTTCACTTCAAAATGAGTTTAATATATACTTTCTTGCTTCACTTTGAGCAAAAAAATGAGCTTAATATAAATTATATAAAGAATAAAACATATGAAGAGGTAACTGGGTCCTTTGCCAAAGCTACCCAACCAGGTAGCGGGGTGCAAGATCTGGGCAGTTAACAAGCTCACCAGTGGTTCTTACCATCAGGCAAGATTGGGACATAGGTGTCCTGCTTACGAGCATGGGATTTTCTGGGTTCTGCAGTCCTTTTACTTGGAGCCCCAGGAAGTTCCCCTTCCCCACTGCCAGCTCCCTGCAGCCTCCCTCTGCCCAGAGCTATGGTGGTAGAATGGCAGACTTGGGACTGTTGGTTTAGCCTCCATTCCCCACCTCCCCTAGACTATGCTCTGCAAGGGAACAACATCCCCTTGCCCTTTTCTCAAGGTAATATCACTCTTTGCTCTTTTGCTTGCTGTCTGAGCCTTCTGCATCCACTTTCCTTTATTCTAGGATAGTAACTTGGCCACAGATGGACAGTGAACTCATGGATAGTAAAATAATCTCTCACCAGTTGCTAATTTTCACAGCTGTACAATTGATTTCAGTTGGGATTGGTTTTGATGATTTTATGACACTGTGAGCTCAAAGAGATAATACTGCATCTGCCACCTGCTGCTGTGTGATCTTAAGGTAAGTCCTTTTACCTCTTTGAGGCTCAGTTTCATCATCTATAATATGGGGATATTTATTCATTCAATCACTATTACTGAATATCTATCGAGTAAAGTTCATAAACATCTCACAAGGTCATTGTGGGCAATGAGCAGGATGGGGTATGTGGTATATGGTTCCTGGTCAATACCCAATAAATGTTGTTCCTGTTATTTTTGGCCTATGAACAATTTTAACCATCAAGTTATCAATAATTCCAAGACTCACAATAAACAAATGTAGAAACTAGTAACAAGTACTTAGGAGACATCACAATCCTGACTTTCACAAGTTAGAAGGCTGGTAGCGCTCATTCTCTTGGGCAGGGACTTATGTGAAGCCTGACTCGGCCATGCTAAGGCTTTCAAATCAGCCCTAATTGTAACTTCTCACTTTAGCATGGCCAATCAATCACTGAAGTCAGTTTTTGTTTTGTTTGTTTGCCTCACATGAGGGCTTCAAACAGAATAGTTTTTACTACATTGGCAGATATTTTCTTACCATTTCTTTTTAAAGTGTTCTTTTATTATTGCCAGCATTCACTAATTCATTCATTTATTCAATAAATATGTGTGAACCTCTGTGCCAGGTACCATTGCAGGTGCTGGTGTACCCTTCAAAGTCTCGGCCCTCATGGAGCTAGCATTCTAGTGGGGGCCTATATGTTTCCCTCATGCCCACTTCACACTAGACTGTAAAATGCCTAAGATCAGGGATTCTTCCTTTTGGTCCTCTCTTAAACACAGAGCACAGAGCACAGCTTGGGGCACACAGGATGCCCTCCAAAAAGACTTCTTGATGGCTTACTATGTGCCAGACATTATTCTAAGCACTTGTGTACATTATTTCATTTAATCCTCACATCTCACCCTATAAGATGGACACGATTTTTATGCTCATTTTACAAATGAGGGAACTGAGCCACAGAGTGGTTAAGAAGTGTGAGTTCCTAAAGCTAGTAAATAATGAAGCTGGAATTTGAACCCCAAACCCAGGCCATGACGATCCTGCTGTCATTCCACCCAGAGTATCCTCTTGTGTAGTTCCTACTGACACCACTTGCAAATTTGAGTGTGGAGCCCAGAGTCCTGGCCTTGGGCCTCAGTTGGCATTTGCCCTGAGTGCAGAGTCCTGGGGTGGCCCTATGTACTAGGCTGAAAACTGAACATCTGGGACAGGGCAAGCTAATCCTCATGAATTTGTTCATTTTTCTGAGTCACCTTGCTTACCTTGGTGAAGTTCAGCTCAGGTGAAAAAAAAAATAATAAGTTGTTCTATAGCAAAATGAGAATATATTTAAGAAATTTTATAAGATGGGAGGTGCTTGGGCTCCTCTTTCAGAGTAAGATGAAACAAATTCTATCTATGAAGATACTGAATAATAGAAGTAAGGCTCCTGTCCACTGCTGGATACCCTAGTGTTTACACTACAAGCTCCACAAGTTTGTCCTCAGAACACAGAGACACACTATCAAAGGCTGAACCCAATACCTACTTTCCTTTGCAAGGCTGGTACTGGCACGTCCACGATTGGGGGAGAGATATATTTTCTTATCTAGAAAAGAAGAAAACATGATTGGAAATGCAATCTCTGGGGCTGGGTTGGAAAATGCCTCAGGGACCCCCAATTGCCTGACCATCAGTTTATGGATACCTGGCAAATTTTCTCTTAGCAGATGTTACAAAAACAGAGGAATTTCTGTCCTTAAGTCTCCTTGAACCTCGTTCCCAACTTCTAGGCAGTGTTCCTAATTAAGGGTCACTGACTTCCTCAACAGTTCTGGACTGTCAGTCACCAATTAATACAACTGATGTCAACATTAGTAGGAGAGTTGATAACATCCAATACCTTGGTGATAAACATTTGTTTGTGAGTGTGTCTAGAGGTATACAGGAAGAGTATATTGCCTGAATTATAGTTTCTCCATGATGTGCCCAGCTTATAATAGATGCTCACTAAATATTTGCCAAATTGGATTTGAACTGTATAGAGTTGTTATTTTTGGAAGGTGATGATTTGAGCCATCTGTGTTCTAACCAACTGTTGAAGCAGGGCTCTGCTGTGTGTATGCACAGGCACGTGTGCAAGCACAGTTGGCCAAATTTCCCCTCTGAATCTAGTAGGAGAAGATTTTTGAAAAAGTGTAGGGGTGGAAATTTTCACAGGTTTCCTAAGCATGATATTTTTATGATTTCTTTTCTAAATACATTCCTAATCAAACTCTGAAAGTGACAGAGTGGCATTTTAATGGGAAATTTGTTTTCAACATTAGAATGGAACACAGTGCCTGACTTAGGTAGGCTCTGCTGAATGGGCCCTTTGTGTGCTATATGCTTAGTTAAGAGTAAAGACGGCTTCCAGTAATTTTTTTCAGGCATGAAACACTAGAATCACAGATATGTATGGACTAGGAAGCTGCAAAAGGAAACTCATCCAGAGTACAGAATGCCAGAGGATGCAGACTTGGCCCCATGAAACTGTAAAATACATATTATTACAAATGTTTCATAGGAAAGGCAAATCTTGTAGCAGAGTAGGTTGCTTTTTTGGTGAGAGTATAATTCAGGCCAATCCTTCCCCGTCCTTTTACAAAGAAGGGAGCCTTGTTTTTTGATGAGTATTTTGCACCTAGTAGGCACTAATTCAATATTTTCTGAGTGAGTGAGTGAGTGAATGTAGTAGGGAGTGAGCCTTAGGGGTGTTTTTAGTTTAGGGGGAGGAGTGGTGGTCAGGGAGTAGGCACCCAAGTGAAACCAAGCAGGAGGATTCCAGTGTGCAGGAGTGAGCCAATGACAGCCAGGCACTGCTACGTCTCCAAGCAGCGATGTGGCTGCCTCTATAGTTGCTTTGAATTTTAATGTGTGGAGCAGATGGTTGGTATAGATTGCCCTTGTTCTTGCCCAGGAGCTTGGCATCACTGCAAGTTGCCAACCTGTTTGGAGGATAGAGTTTGAGCTTGTCAGTACATCACAGAGCTGTTTTGCAAATCGATTATTTAGTGGCTCACATTGGGGTAAACGCAGACCCTATGTTTTTAGGCATCATTTTTCTAGGGTAAGGCTAAGTCGACATACTAGAGTGAATATTTCAGTCCAAGTTCGCCTAGCTGGCTATCTGTGTAAACTTTAGCCATTAAACTGTGAATGTCAATGAAGCCTAGTGAAGATATATAGAACATGTAAGCAGAACATTCTGTCCCTCTAGCAGTCCCATGTCCAGAGTGGCAGCAATTAGTCTTGGCAACCCATCTCGTGCCAACTCCCTCTCAACCACAACCCCTCAGAGGCAATCCTCCAAGTATCTGTAGTCATTTCCTTACAGTGGACTGAGCTGGGAGGCAGGTTGAGGAGTAATCCTGTGCTTCCAGCTATCTGAACAGGGTTGCAGTCCTCCCTTGTGGCAGATTCCTGAGGACGGGCTGGGCATCTGTCTTGTGGGAGGAGACTTAGGAGGGACTCACATTTCCCATCAGGCTGGGGCTCTGGAACCAGCTGCCCAGCGAGGAAGGCCTGAGAGTAGCCAGGCTCCGAGGAGCTGGGGTTGGCTAGGGAGGAGAAATGCCACAGCCCCCCAGACTGAGTGAAGGGGCTCCCACTCAACGACTGTGGGAACTGGTCCCCAGTCAGGGGACCAGACACATTTAGGCGGCAGCTGGAGGCACGGTTTGCAGGAGATACTTCTGGCTGTGGTTTTGTCCGTGGAGAAGAAAAACGCCACTGATTTGGAGGCATGTCATTATCTGAGAAGGAAAGATTTAGAAGATACATTAGGTGTTTATTTATTGTTTTCAAAATGGAAGTAGCTTAATATTTTTCTGGTTAATACATACTGTATTTTTTAACTTGAAGAAAATATAGAAAAGGCGGAAAAAAAATCACTTTGATCATAATATCCGGAAACAGCCGTTGTCCTCCTTAGGTATACTTCTCTCTAGGATTTGCTTCTATTCATGTATGCATTGTTTTCACAGCACATTGTTATTCAAGCTGCTTTTGCTTCATTGAAATATCATGAATATCCTCCCATGGCAATGAATAGAGCCGAACATCAGCTTTTTAAAGGGATGTGCAATATTCTACCATAAAGCAGTAATGTGACTAACAGATGTCAAATTTGTGGACAGCTCAATTATTTCCATTTTTTCAGTTATATGAATAGCAATGTGACGAGCATTTTCTCATAGACATCTTTGTACCCTGGTCCAATTGGCACCTTAAAGACATTTTTCTAGAAGTATAAGTGCTGGATTTGTGTTTGGTTGCTGCTATCGTTTAGCTTTATTTTATGGCTGGTGTTTTAAATACACCAAACAGGAGGATTCCACAGAACCTTAAATGAGGTTTAATGCTTACCTGGGTTAGTCCCTCACACAATTCTGGGGGTTGAAACCTGATTTTCCAGAGGAATCTGGGGCACAGGGATGGTAAGAGACTGGACCAAGTGGATCATGGTAGCCAAGTAGGGAAGTGAGCTGGCCTGAGAGTGACAAGTAGGGAAGTAGCTGCTTGGACCTCATTCTGCAAAAGCAGAATGCTCAGGGTCAAGAGGTGACTCAGTTTCTTCTTGCAAAGTTCACATGGACTGGCTAATTGGGATGGAGTCTCCTTTGGTCCTATAGGCACTATTCTAATTGTGCCTACTATAGCATCTCAATCTGAGATCTCAAGTGTCTAGGAGAGTTCATGACATAGATGGATGTTTTCCCCATTGTCAACATCCACTCAGGCAAGAGGGGAAGAAGGAAAGAGCTCTGCCAGACGGTGTTTCAAGCCTGGGGCCTCTCATCTGTCCAAGATAATGGAGGGAGCTGTGGGTGCAGAGACAAAGGAAGATTGGCTGCCTGGAGAGGCTGTCTGGGACACTGGTCCTCTCTCCCTCCACGTGCGCCTCTCCCAGCTCTCCTGAATGTTCAATTTGGCTGGATTCTGTGCAAGATAAAAGCATCTGAGAGGCCTGCACAGTGTTACTGGATTGCCACCACCCGCTACCGTTGCTTCCTGTGTAACACAAATGATAAGAACAGAAGCCCAAGTCCACATGGCCCAACTTCTCATAGCGTTCACAATGAGTGATGGGCAGTGGTTGGCCTCTTCTAATGAAACCAAAACCAAGGCAATATATTAAGATATGTTCTGGGAGTGAATGCTACTTTTGAAAATTGATGAGGCCAGAAGCAATTCAGGGCACTGTGTAGCACAAATAGAGCGATTAAGCTGATTTGGTATAATCGCTGTCTGTGCTTCGCATTGAATGAGGGTACTGCATGTCCTAAGCACAAATTAGAAACAAAGTATAGTCCCTGACAACTGGGCAGTTTCCATCTGAACTGGCCTTACAGATCTCATACATATGAACCACGTGCTGAATGTTTGAAATGTTAAAAGCAGGACCCCAGAGTATTTTGAATATTTCTCTTAACTGCTTCCTTTCCAGAATTCTCTGACTGAAATGTTAAGGGGAATGGGTGGTATGCCACTGTCCCAGGTCCAATGTGGTCACTGAGTGCATCAAAGCATAGTTTGGATGAGAGCTTGTGAGGATGCACAGGGTGTCCCAACCCTAAGCTCACAGCAACCCAATGGCAGGCCTTGGGTGGCCTAGCGAAACCCACCTTTCCCGACCACGTTTGGGTGTTGGTGAGCCATGGAATGGAGACCCTGAATTTGGGTGGGCCACTCTTTCTTAGGGCTCTTGGGCCAATTGTTCCAGCAACCATACCCATCCACTCTGTGGATGGGTGAAGTCATCTTACACCAGGAGCCTGCACTGGCTCAAGGCTGTCACTACTATTAAAAGTGGCCCTGATGACATTTCTTACCCAAGTACTCCCTCTTACTTTATTCTGGAAGTGAGAGATGAAGCCCCAAAGGAGACACTGTTTCCTTCTCAAACCCCAAACCTCATTAGTGAATGGAGAGCAGGTGAACAACACTTTCATTCAAGGACACTTGGAGCAGGCTAGGATTTTTCTTTCAGTAGGAATACAAAAAGCTTCCACTCTGTAGACTCCAACCCTGGGCATCTAGACCCTACATCTTAGTCTTATCCATGTCTCTAGATCAAAGGCCCTTGTTGCCAAGACCAGGCCCAGCCAGAGAGTGTTAGTCTCCATTTCCCACTATGTCTCTTTAGGGTTAAACTGGCATGCCATTCCCCCGTCTCCCAAGCACACCTAGAGACACCACCCACAATCACTCACATATACTTCTGGAAGGCCCAGAACCTTTCAAAGCATCTCCAAGTACTGAAAAGTTTGTCTCCACCACAGAGGACCCTCCCTCCACTTTATCCTTGTGTGGGGACCCTGACTTCCTATTTCAGCTAGTTTCTAGCCATACAAACTTAAAGGTCCCCTCTCAGGAATGCCCTCCCTGAACCTCCAATCTAAAGTTTGTTACCCTGTTACTTTCTGTGACTACACCCTGTTTATTTCCTTCATAGCAGTAATCCTGTAATGTCCTTATTTCTTGATTCGTTCACTATTGCTCTTCCCACTATACAGTGAGCTTTGAGAGAGCTGAGATCATTTCTCTTTTGTTCACCATTATATCCCCAGGAACTTGCACAGTGCCTGGTACGTAGTAGGCCCTGACTAAATATTATTCTAATAAGGGCACACATATGCATGCACTCACATGCGCACACACATGATACACACAAACACACACATACACACTCACAGTTGCAAATATGTACACACTCACAAACACATGCACACACTCTCTCTCTCACACACACATACACACCCCTCCCCACTGAACTTTTCTATATTGAGGATGGCAGCATGAAAGTGATTAAGAACACAGACTTTAAAGTCAGACAAGCTGGGAGTCTAGTCCCAAATCTGCCACTTCCTACCTGTGTGACCCTGAGCAAGTCCTCTGCCACCTCCTAGCCTCTTGAAACTGTTCCAAGATTGAATGAGACAACCCACGTAAAAGCCTTAGCACAGTGCCTGGTCCACAATTGGCACCCAATAAGTGGTAGCTGTGGCTATTGTTATTAATCATTTCAGTTTAGAAACCCACCTTGGGTTTCTCTACTGGTTTGCAACACTGAGAATAACCAACCCAGGAAAAAGCAAGACGGAAATTAACGTATGAGGCCAGAGAATCCTTCTTGCCAAGAGTCACCTAGTGCTGGAAAAGTGAGGGGTGGAGACGACTGAGCTGAGAAGCCCACAACAGCAGCAGAAGTGGCAGCACTTCAGAGCTGGTGTGGAGGATGGAGTAGACAGTAGCTATAAGAGAGAGATGTCATGGGAGGCTGAGGCGAGTGGATGGCTTGAGATCCGGAGTTCGAAACCAGCCTGAGCAAGAGCGAGACCCTGTCTGTACTATAAATAGAAAGAAATTAATTGGCAAACTATATATATAGAAAAAATTAGCCGGGCATGGTGCCTCATGCCTATAGTCCCAGCTACTCAGGAGGCTGAGGCAGGAGGATTGCTTGAGTCCAGGAGTCTGAGGTTGCTGTGAGCTAGGCTGATGCCACGGCACTCACTCTACCCTGGACAACAAAGCGAGGCTCTGTCTCAAAATAAATAAATAAATAAATAATATAAATAAAATAAAAATTAAAAAAGAGATGTCAGAAGACTTTGCTCAGTCTATGTATGGAATTATTATTACTATTATCATTATTCATGGGGAATAATACATCCAAGGCGGGCAGGAACAATTTGTAAATATAAAATAGCTTTTATGTATTGAGCGCTGACTGTGATTCAGGCACTTTGCTTAGCACTCTGCATGGACAATCTCATGTGTTCCTCACAGCACCCAGATAAGAAAATAGAGACCCAGAGTGGCTGAAGTAACTTGCCTAAGGCCACACAGTTAGCAAAGGGTAGGGCTGTCTGATTCCAAACCTCATACTCCTACAGGCCATGCCTCCCCAATGTTGCAAAGAATGTGGTGACCTGGGCACTTTCACATGCTCCTGGACCTGAAGGGTTGGCAGATTGGCAGAACATTTCTGGGGAGCAATTTTTCAGTATATATCAAAACCCTAAAATTTGTGCATGCTCTTTAACCCAATCATCCACTTATAGCAATTTATTTTAGGGATATAATCAATGATGCATGCAAAAATTTAGCTACAAGGATGTTCAAAATGATGTATATAATAGAATGAAAGAATGGCAGCAACCTAAATGTCCAAAATCTATAATAAATTAGATACATCTATAAAATGATACTTGAACCATTAAGATGGTGTTGTACTAGAACATGTAATGGCATGGAAAGATGTACATGACTTATTGTCAAAATAAAAAAGCAGGTTATGACCTATTATGTGCAAAGTGACACCATGTTGTAAAAATTAGTATATTATATAGAGAGGCACACGTAGTTTTTGTTTCCCGAATGCTTATCTGTGTTTTTTAAATCTTCAAACATGAATACATATTATTTTTGTAGTTAAGAAAAGTTATTTTTGAGCAAAAACTTAAGAAATCACATGACCAGTGAATCTCCCAAAAGATAAATCACAGTCATGAAGAACCAATCCATGACTGCCTGATTTCCTTCCATGTATCCTTTCTTCTTTCCTTCCTTCTCTTCACTCTATCTGTGTCTTTAATACAAACCCTGCTTTATAGTGAAGTTGAAACCAAGAACCCTTTGAACATATATACATACATCTTGCACCATGGTAGTGCAACCTCTGTCCTCTGCAATCTGCACACATTGACTCTCCCCTTTCTGTTCTCTTGGCTGGTGATACTTGTCTCTCATTCATTCACCCCAGGAACAAAGAGGATATTCTTTGCATTAGCTGAGGTCAAAATAACACTGGAGGCAGATGGGCAGCTTAGAGGACACAGTCTTGTTCCAGGGCAGCAGGAGGGTCTGTCTAGTTTCACTTTCTCTTTCAGTTGCCTCCCTGGGGTACCTAGTTTTTTGATGTATATTCAGGTTCCTCTTTCCAACTGAAAATGGAGATCAAATACAGAACATGCTCTAGGGTTTTGAAAGTTGAGTGGATAACAGCTCAGGGTCTGGAATCAAACACAACTGGTGGTGATTGGTATAGCCACCCCTTACTAACTGTGGGATCTTGGGCAGGTCACTTGACTCTCTGAGCCTCAGTTTATTCATCAGGAGAATGGGCACAGTAAGAGTTAGGATTGGTGTGAAGATTCAATGAAGTAATTCATGTGACAGTCCCTGGCAAATGGCCTGACATACAGGAAGTACTTGCTAAGTGTTAGCCATTATAAACATTATTGGCGATAGTTCTCATGGCTATCAATTCTGTCACTAGGGGATTGTTGGGGTCTACAAAGGTGTAACAGTGGGGTAGTCAGGAGACGGGCTTTGGCGTCTGACAATTGGTTTTCAATCTCTTGGGTTTCAATCTCTATCACTCACTGGCTGTGTGGCCCATGTCCAGACACTTACCCTTGGTGGGCTGCAGTTTCCTGCTCTATAAAATGAGGATAATAATACCCATTGCAACGAGGTTTTGTGAAGTACAACCAACACGCAAAAAAATGCACAAAGAGAAGTGTGCAGCCTGGGGGGGTTTTCACTTCTGAGCACCACCCCAGCAGCCCCCTCCAGCCGCGAGCCCCCACAAAGGTAACCACTGGCCTGTCTTCTAATACTATATGTTCGGTTTGCCCGTCTTTGAACTTTGTAAGTCACAGTGACTTTGAGGCCTGAGCTAAATGTGATAATTTTAGGGCACCTAGTGGGGGCTCAATATATGTCTGTACAGATTCCTTTCCCCCACTGGAAAGGAAGACACGAAGTTGTCAGTATTCACAGGGGCCATAAACAAATAGCGTGACTATAGCTCGTATGGATATTCACTTTGGAAAAGAAAGACAGTGTTTCTTCCTCACCCCCATGGATTATGGCAGATGGGAGGGGAGAGAGAAGAAGGCGGCTATAAAAGACCACTGGGTGCTCAGATATACGTCCTCTCACCTTCTTTTGGCAGCCTTTGAGCAACATTGCCAGGCCTGAGGTGAGGCTGGGGACTGTGGCTCGGGGAGGGCAGGAAGATTTCAGAGTGGCCTGTGCACCAGGACCGTGCGCCCCACCCCCTGGAAACCATAGTCACAGAAGCTTCTCGTTACCAACTCCGAAATCCCCAACGTCCTTTTAAAAGGGAAATAATTCAAAAAGATACCTTCAACTTGTGGTTTCTGAAGTACAGCCAGTATAAATCATACGTAAGTAAGTAAAAAAAATAGCTTTGGGAAGAGATGACAGGAAATTCAATGGCATTTCCTAGCCACCCGGGTCTCCGTGTTTGGGCTTTGCATATTTGGCTTGACACAGCACCCTGAGAATGTAGGCAAGTCAGCAAGGGGAGCCCATGAATGGGAGCCTGTTCCTACATGGCCTGGCTGGGCTGGTGGCCTGGCGCTGGCCCACAGGGGTTGAGAGGATGCTAACAGTCAGTAATGAAAGGCCACTTTATAGATTTCCCACCATTTTCAAAGCTGCATGTATGTCATGTAACACCTCCAGCGAGAACCTCTAGGGAACCGGAAGTTTTTCATAGGCCCTCTCCTGAGACAGCGGAGCTTATGAGAAACTGGACTCCCAGTGGTGATAAGAGAGGCTTTGAGGGAGGCAGTCTTTCCTTCATTTGCTCCATCAGCAGACAAATATTTACCAAGCCCACAGCATGTTCTGTGCCAGAGACATCTTCATACTCAAGGGGGTTGTGAGATTGTCACAGGGAAAATGCAATTCCCAAGAATGCAGGTGGAGAAGAAAGCCGCCTCCCTATTTGGCCTGCAAAGGCTGGCTTGAACAAGAAACAGGGCCATGCCCAATCTCCCTTAGTGGGCAGGGTCTTCACAGAAGGATACAGGGTAAGTCAGAAGGCACAGGAAACACTACAGCAGCCACAGGGGAGTCCCCTGAAAGTGTGGAAGCTTATAGGACAGGCCTGCTGCTCGGTGATCCTTGTGTTTTGAATGCAGGTCCTCACATCTATCCTAGCCTTCCAAAACATTGTGTCGAGCTTTGGCACCCCCCTCAAAATAACTAACACCTACATAGCATGCACCATGTGGCACTTGACATGCTTTATCTTATTAACTCCTTGCAAGCACACTTCTGTAATTAAATAATATTCAATTTTAGAGATGAGGAAACCAAGGCACAGAGAGGTGAAATGATATGCCCAAAGACCACATGGTTATTAAGTGGTGGAACTGGTCTAGACCCAGGCTGCCTGGTTCTACAGCTGTAGAACACACCCTACCCCCTCTCTGTGGTGACCCATCTGTAGGGAAAATACCCTGTGATCCGAATCACAATTCCACTCATTCAAGCAATATGCATTAAGGGCTTCCATGTGTCAGGCATTGTGCTAGGTACTTAGAAAGCAGCAGTTAACAGAGTCCACCCTGGACAGAGCTCAGAGGCTAAGGGAAGGGAGGAGTCGAAAAAGGAACACATCAACATATAATGTGCCCCATGATGACAAATGCTAAGAAGAAAAATAAAGCAAGGTAAGAAGACAGAGAGCAACAGAACAGGGGCTTCTATTTTTTAAATAGACTGTTCAGGAAGAAAGCCTGTCTTGAAGTGCCATTCAGAGGGAGCTTTGAATGGAGGAAAGGAAGGCCATGCTGATATCTGGGGAAAGAGCATTCCAAGGAGAGGGGAGACCAAGTACAAAGGGAGAGCCTGAGGCAGGATTGTCCTTGGCATAGTCTACAAATAGTGAGGAGCCTACATTGGAGTGGGTGAGGTGGAAAGTGGTCGGATTTGGGATCAGAAAGTCAACAGAGACCCAGATGAAGTAGGGCTTCATTATAGACTTTGGATTTGATTCTAAGTGAGATGGGAAGCTGTTGGAGGATTTTAAAGAGTGCTATGGTATGACTTCTACTTTAGCACTACCATTTTGACTGCTATCTCGAGATTAGACTGAAGGAGAGAAAAGGCAGAAGCAGTGAGAGCAATGAGGAGGCTTCAGTAATCCAGGGAGGGGGATGGTAGCTTCTCCAGCCCAGGGCGGGGAGATGTGGTCAGATGCTGAAAGTTTGGAAGGTAGAACCTACAGAATTTCCCAAAGGATTGGATGTGGCATGTGAAACAAAGAGAGGAGTTAAACGTGACTTCAAGTAATTGGAAGGATGGGACTGCCATTTATTAAGATGGGGTGGGAGAGGTTGAAGGGGAGATTAAGAGTTCAGTTTGGGGCTGCTTTGTTTGTGATTCCTATTAAAACTGCAAAATGAAGATGCCAAGCAGGCAGTTAGATAAGCAGGTCAGAAATCCATTTGAGGCTGTAGATATGCATTGGAATTGATCAACATGTAGATGGCATTTATGACCAAGACAGTGGGAGATCATCTAGGGGAGTGAGTGTAGGTAGAGAAAAGAAATTGACCAAGATCTAAGTCCTGGGGCCCTGAAATGTTTAGAAGTTGAAGAGAAGAGGACATACAGCAAAGGAAACTGAGAAGGAGTAGTAGTAACCAGAGAGGTTGGAGGAAAGCCACGAAAATGTGATGTTGTGGAATCCAAGCAAAGGAGGAGGTGTTTCCCAGAGGAGGGAGAAGTCAACTGCAGCAAGTGCTGCTGATGGGTCACACGAGATGAGTGCAGAGAGCAACCATTAGATTTGGTAAGTGGAGGTCACTGGCTAACCTTGATGAGAGAGTGGTCTCAAGTGATGAAGTTGAAAGCACGAGGTGAATAGAGTCAAGACAGTATGAGAGGAGGATGACAGAGTGTGCATGAACACCACTTTTGAGTTTTACTGCAAAATGAAGTGGAGAAATGGGTCAATTGGCCAAGAGTTGGTTTGATCCCATCTTGAGTTTACCAGGTAAGTAGAATAGAGGATGTGGGGGACCATGGATTGATGGTGCCTACAAGAGAGTGATTGTAATGAATCCAAGCCAATGTCTTCAGCAATACAGTCAAATAGCCAAAGTCAGCATACTTGTCCTTGTATTAAGTGCCTGGGATTTTGACCCTTGCAAGGAGTCATTTAGATTCTCTGAATCCCACATACCACCTTTCTGAGCTCCTATCACATGTCAATCCCCCAAATGACTCAAGATCACAGTCTTTCCTGTTCCTGCTCTGATTATTCCACACACTCTTAGACATCACCTCCCTGCTCTGCACCCACCCTCACCTGCCCATTTTAACAGCAAGCTCCACATCTCTTCCTTTAATATCTGCTGCTACTACATGCACTTCCACACGTTTACTTAACCCACAAGATCCTCTGAGAAAATCATGTCACTTGGTTTGTTTCTCAGAGAGAAGTGAATTCTACAAAGGTGAGTAGATCAGATACACATCAACTTCCTGTCCAGACCCAAAGAGCAATGCCAGAGTGAAGGCATCTGCAAAGAGGTGAGCTCTTCGCCCATGGGCAGAGCCCCCACTGGGAGGCAGACATGTCCTCCAATGGGAGCAAGACGTTCAACATGTGCTCTCAGCAACAGCAATAAAGAGCTCTTAAAATCAACCAGACCCTGATCTATTTGCACATTTCAAAAGCAATGAACCTAGCACTTAACACGATTGAGGAAATAATAAAATAGGTGAACTAATTTGATTAAACAGCACCCATTTTTGTAATACATTCAACTTTTAAGAAGGAGTGTGGCTTCTCACTACACAGCCTGACTGCCTTTATCATATATGCACATGTCCAAGTGTGTTAAGTGCATCCAAGAATGGACCTTTGAGTGATAGCCTTGACAGGGGATTCCAGCCACCTCCCTCCCGACAAGCTCACCATTCTTTAGGATCACATCTTCACTCTGCCTCGAGGGGCTCAATGCCTGGGGGCTCTTGACGCTGCTCAGAGCCCTGGAGAAGTGCTCATCCACTACACTGCCGATGTCCCCTTGGAAATAGGTGAAAAGGACACACCGGGAATTCCATTCAGTCTTTATAGGTTTCTGCCTACCCCGAGGCAGTCGGATGGCAGTCTTCTTCATTTCTTCCATTGTGGGAGAGTGACACAGGTGATAGCTGCAGACCAAATGCAAAATGTCACTGGCAGTATTTTACCAAGTGGCTTGGATGTAGTTTGGACAAGTGGCATCCTTGGGGGTAAGAAGTTTCCTCCTACCAAGCACAGGCTCTCATTGGGGTCCCAGGGAGCCACCAAACTCCTGAAGGTCAACAACAATGCTGTTGAGGACCTTTGTCTAATCAGTGTTCAGAGAACAACACGAAAAAGCTCCACAAGGCACTGAGAGGGGCCTTCTCCTACAAATGAGAATTATCAGGCAACATGACTAGAAGAGCATCAGGAAATGGGGAGGTGGGAGGTCATTGAGGCCAAATAGTAGAGTAACTTGCCTTCTGGGGAGGTGCCTTCCTCCCAAAAGAATAAGCCAAGGTCGGCCCAGAACTACCTATAGGCACAGGGTCCCCTGGCAAGCTAGACTAAGCAATCCAGCAGTTGCTTGCCAACTTCAGCTTGCACAGTAAGCATCGCTTTCCATCTTGACTACTTCCATGCAAGAGAGTAAAACACATCAAATTTTCCCACTCTTTCTGCTGCCCTACTCTATAAAAGACCCTGTCCTGCACCTACCCCCAACCCATCTTAGAAAATAGCAATTACAAACACTGCCAGCTCTGTGGTCTCCAGACAGATATATTCTGAACAAAATACAGATATCCAAAAACCAGGTTTACGCTGATGTATTATGGCAATATTGGAGGAAAGCTCCTGAAAGGTCGTAAGATTGTAAGCTCTGTTTGCTACCATAGCTCCTGTATTTAGAACAGTGCCTGGAAAAAAGTATTAATAGATGCCCAAAAGCTATCTGCTGAATTGCCTTAGACCTGTTCCCTAGTAGTGGCATCATCATATTCGACCTTGTGAGTTCCTGGGAAGCGAAGGCTATCCATTTGCATCTAGGACAGGACCTGGCACATAAGACATGGTGTGGCCCTCCTTTACTAAGGAAGTTGCCTGTCTGGATGTTTCCTTACCTTTCCTTACCGTCCTTACCCAATCTGATTTACCAGGTGCTCTGGCTAAAGATGTATCTAATCTATTCATTCTTGTCAATATAAAGAAAATGCTAGAGTTTAATAGACTGTCTCCCTCTCTAGTTTATGAGATCCTTGAGGATGGAGAGCATTTCTTATTCATTTCTTCATCTCGAGCATCTAGTACAAAGTAGGTGTTCAGCAACCCATGGCTGAATAACTGAATGCTATTTCATGCAGAGAAAGTGCAATGTCAAAAAATCACACCAGGCCGGGCGCGGTGGCTCAAGCCTGTAATCCTAGCACTCTGGGAGGCCGAGGCGGGCGGATTGCTTGAGGACAGGAGTTCGAAACCAGCCTGAGCAAGAGCGAGACCCCGTATCTACTATAAATAGAAAGGAATTAATTGGCCAACTAATATATATAGAAAAAATTAGCCGGGCATGGTGGCGCATGCCTGTAGTCCCAGCTACCCAGGAGGCTGAGGCAGAAGGATTGCTTGAGCCCAGGTAATTGAGGTTGCTGTGAGCTAGGCTGACACCACGGCACTCACTCTAGCCTGGGCAACAAAGTGAGACTCTGTCTCAAAAAAAAAAAAAAAATCACACCAGATTAGGAGTCAGAAGGCCTGAGGTTTTCCTTGGCTGTATAACTTTGGAGGAACCACATAGCTTCTCTGGGCTTCATGTTACTCTTGCGTAAAAGGAAGGAGTTGGAGTATGTGAATTTTTTTACGGTTCTATTGAATGTGTCAACAGGTAATGGTAGGGACATTAGGAAGGAATCTGGCAATAAGCAAGCCACCCTTTTAAAAAAATGTTCTTGTTTTAGAATCATTCTATCTTCAGTTACGACTGGATTGTGATGTCTAGAGAAGCCTTTGATTGAGCACCATTATTCTGTTTCTCCTGGTTGGCAGTCATGCTAAGCATAATCAGGAACTACCTCAAAAATGAATCCATTGCACCCTTATTTCAAAAAACATGTGAACAACCACTTTGAAAAACTGGTAGTTTCTAATAAAGTTAAACATATTCTTACCATATGATCCAGCAAACCTCACTTCTAGATACATGCAGCCAAGAGAAACAAAAACTATGTCCAAACAAAGACTTGTACATGAATGCTCATAGTAGCTTTCTTCATAACAGCCAAAATATGGAAACTACCCAAATGTCTGTCACCGGAAGAAGAAATAAACTAGCTGTGACATATTTATACAATGGAATGTTACTCAGCAATAAACAAAAAACCTACTAATTCATACAACAGCATGGATGAATTTCAAAAACATTGTGTTGACGGAAAGAAGCCAGACACCAAAGACCACATATTGTATGATTCCACCTACATGGAACAAGCATAAATAATCTGTCAGAACAGATAGAAGTCAGAACAGTGGTTGCCTGTGGGGTGGTGACTGACCAGGAAGGAGCATGAGGGAGCCCTCAGGGGTGTGGAAATGTTCTACATCTTGATGAGGGTGATGGTTACTACATGAATGTATACATTTGTTAAAACTCATAAAACTTTACACTTAAGATGTGTGCATTTCACTGTAGGTAAATTATTTCTCATTTTTTAAAAAACACATGCTATTTTCAGATACTTGGAGTGGTAGAAACAAAGCAAAGGTGTCATGAACTATAAAGTAATGATAAGTGTGGAAGCAGCACTTTTTTAAAAGCCACAGTTTACAAAATACCTAATCTGTGCCAGAAACTACACATATATCTTTTCCAATCCTTTTTTTTTTGAGACAGTCTTGCTCTGTCACCCAGCTTAGAGTGCAGTAGCATGATCATAGCTCACTGTAACCCTGAACTCCCTCCTCAGCACCCCAAACGCTGGGATTACAGGTGTGAACCACTGTACCCAGCCACTTCTCCAATCTTTACGACCTTCAAAATAGGCATTAATTAGCTCCTTTTTACAGATGAGCAATTTGGAGCTTAGAGAGGGTAAAATAAACTGCCCAGGCTATGCAGTTAGATAGTGGCAGAGCTGAGATTTGAACTCAGATCTTTCTCCTCCCCCATCCATCCCTTACTTCTGGGTCTAATAGTCCCCACTCCTCTATGGGCCCCAGTCTCTCCATCTATCAAATGTGGGGGCAGGCTTAGCCTCTAATCCCTATGGGGCCTCAAGCCAGGACCCCAAACCAGCTATCTGGTCTCCGTCAGGGAATGCAGGCAGAAACTCAGTCTGCCCCCTCAGGACTTCCCTGCTTGCTAATGCAAAGGCCAGTGAGCACCTCTGGAGGACTTGCCCTCTTACTCAGAACTGCCACTGGCCACTGCTCTAGGCTCAGGCTTGACACAACTTGCAATCTCTCTTTGCTAACTCCCCCTGAAGCCACAAGGGAAGGAGCTGGCAGGATCCTAGGGACATCAGGGCCCTGAAACATGTTCCTAGTCACCTTGGGTAGAGTTCATAGAGACCACAGACCAACCAGCCACAGCCAGGAAAGGTTAGAGATGGAGAAAGTCGGAGGCTATGTTTCAGCCGCTTCACCTTGGAGGGCTCAGACCTCAGGCAGCTGGGGATCCTGAATCATCCAAAAGTACTATCTCTGCCCCTCTTTCCTCCCCAAACACACAGACACACACTCAAAAGAAAAGCCATGGGTTACTTCTCTGGATGCAGCTCACAAGCAGCTCCCCAGGCTATACTCAGACCGGAGTGGAGATGAACTGTATTTGAAGGACATTAAAATTCTAAGAATTGTCATCGGCTTAATCCTATGAAGAACTGTGTCTCCCTGCACCTCTGGAAAAACTTGAGCAGCTTCATTCTCAAACGAGCCTTCCATAAGGGGTCTCTTTATTCATGAGCAAATTGGTGGGGTGGATCTGGCTTAGGAGAAGGAGATGCTATGGAGCTGGGTCTTAGGGGATGTCAGTGAAGCCAAAGAAAGGGTGGGAGTGTCCTGGAGAAGATGTTTCTGTATCAGTGCCTGGCTGGTAGCAAAAGCCTCTTGTAGACCAAACCTCAAGGCTAAGCTTTGCCAGCTGTGCAGTCAGAATGGTATAATTACAAAACCACGCTCAGCTTGCAATTTCCCCAGCTCACAATCTATAGAGACACCATGTGCTCCAAGTGGACCTCAAAATATTGCCCCAACTTCTGCAAAAAAAAAAAAAAAAATCTTTGAACACAGAATTCAAAACCAGGAGTTTGTTCTGAACTCTACACAGCCTGCCTGCATGGACACACTCACCACACTTCTGCAAAATGGTACCTAACATTCTGGGGCTAGGGTGGGAAGTTAGAGGGGTTGGTTGGCACAACAATCACTTGAAACTAAAGCTCCAAAGGGACGAGATTGTATCTCATTGAGCAAAGCACGTGATGCCCCCCATTTCTTCCCAGTTAAATTTCCATTTTTCTTCCCCCCAAAAGTCCCCAGCTTCTCTTACCTTAATTCCAGACCATCACCTGAGACCGAGCAAGAGTCTATGGCTTGGAAAAGGTGCGTTTTGCTGGCCAGAGCTGCCTGGCTCACTTCGGAGCAGTCCAGTACTTGTAGAAGCAGGAGCTGGAAATTTGTACCCCTCCTTGCTACTTTCTACCCCTCTAGCTGGGGCAACGCAAGGCGTTTCCTGCTAGCTATCTATTAAGAATGCAGAAAATGCACTCCAACGAGTCAACCTGGTTGGGCACCTGCAGGAATGAGGAAAGTGGTAGCTCTTTTTTATTTCTTTCTTTTTGCATTAAAAAAAATACTTTGTGAGATTTTCTCTTGGACTAGGAGGCCAATTGTTCGCCTGAAACCATACACAGGGTCAATAACATCTAAAACATCAGTTATGGGGTTTAGATCAAACTGATGTCATATTTGATCTCAGGAACTGAGAGTTCGTTTGGGTATGTCTAATTTTTCTCTCTCTCCTTGGGAAGAAAAGGGGAGCCCAGATCCCCAGGATTCTGGACTAGTCACAGCCTTCTGTGGGCTGCAGAGGGAGGGAGGACTTCTCTGAACTTGCCATAGACAAAGCAGTTCAGAGACTTCAGTAGGAGGTTTGGAGCAGGGGGGTCCTAATCCTCATTTTTAAAAACCCTCAATATTACCTCAGTAAATGGCACTGTCATTCAGGCCCCAAACCCTGGAGTCATTCTTTGTTCCTCTTTTTCTCTATTTCAACAGCTTTAGTTCAAAAAATATTTATTGAACACCTGCTATGTGCCGGGCACTATTATGGAAGTTGTGTTCTATAGTAAACAAAACAGACCAAATCCCTGCCTTCATGGGATAAATACACACACATTATGTGTTTGTATATGCACACGCATAGGTACATTATATGTATAATGTCAGATGGTGATAAGTACATGAAGATAAATGAATCAGTGAAGGGGAGGAGGGAGTGCTGGGGTCTAGTGCTAATTTATAGAGGGTGACCAAGAAAGGATTCTCTGATAAGGACATTTAAGCAAAACCCTGAGTGAAAAAGCCACATGAATATCTGATTTCCTGATACTCGAGGGAACATCTCATGCAAAAGATGAGATCACATTTAGTCTGTTCACAGAAGGCAGGAGGTCAGTGTGGCTGAAGAGGAGAGAGTGAGGGGAGAGGGTGATGGGGGCCAGATCACATAGGACCTCATCAGCCATGCTAAGGCTTTTTGGCTTTTCATCTAAGTGGGAAGGAGGCCCACAAATCCTAAAAGCTCTGCCTTCCACACACTTTCCCATCTGTCCTTTCTCACCACCTTCCCAATGCTCACCCTCACCCAAATCCCCATCATTTCTCCCCAAGACCACCTCCACAGCCTCCTGCCCAACACCTCACTTCCACACTTGCCCTGTCTAATCCGTTCACCCCAAGACAGATACATGATCATTTTAGAACATTCATAGAATGCACTCACTCCTTGCTTACAAGCTTCTAATGAAAAAAGTTGATCTCATGGAGATAGAGAGTAAAATAATAGATACCAGAGACTGGGAAATGTGTGTGTGTGTGTGTGTGTGTGAAAGGGGGGTGAAGACAGTTTGGTTAATGGGTATAAACATACAGTTAGATGGAATAAGTTCAAATGTTCTGTTGCAAATGAGGGTGACTATAGTTAACAATGATGTATTGTAAATTTCAAAGTAGCTAGAAGAGGGGACCTGAAATGTTCCTAACACATAGAAATGATAAATACTCAAGGTGGTGGTTACCCCGAATACCATGACTTGATCATTACACAGTCTGCTCATGTAACAAATACTCACATGTACCCCATAAACATGTAAAATATTATGTATCAATTAAAAAATGGCTTCTCTTCTTCTAATGGCTTCTCTTCGCCCAGCATGGCCTGCCAGGCCCCTCCCTGACTGGCCCCCTGCCCCCATCTCTGCCCTTATCTCCTACCACTCTCCCCTTCAGGCCACTCCCCTTCACTGACTTCCTGGCTGCTCTTTGAATAGGTTAAACACCTTCTAGTCTTTCCCTGGCCTGTTTCCTCTCCCCAGAATGCCCATCGCCCAGGCATCCTCATGACTTGTTCCATTATTGTGTTCAAACCTCCTCTCAGTCACTTCTTCTTTCTCTAACAATCCTATCCAAAGTAGTAGCCTTTTGGAATCTCTGTCCTATCATTCCACTTTGTGGTTCTTCATAGCACTTTTCAGCTGTCAATATCATATTACATATTTATTTGTTTACAGTTTGTCACCCCTTCTAAAATAACACCTGGTATATAGTGGGGACTTAGTAAATATTTGTTGAATGAACGTATGAGAAGGGTGTGTGTGAGGGGGGAATTATTCAAGTATTCCCAGAAGTAAATGTACAACTGCAACAGTGATGACTCAATGCCTGGTACTAGAAGAGCCCGTGATCAGGACCCCTGATTTAATCTGGGAAAGTAGGGTAACTTCCCTGTGGAAATAGTGCTTGAGCTCAGATGTGATAGGCAGGGAAGGAGTTAACCAAGGAAAGAGGAGAGGGAGGAGTGTTCCCAGCACCCAGAGGTGGGAGGGGCCTTGGCAAACCTGAGTGACAGGAGAAGAAGCAGCAGTGTGGTTGGAGTGGAGGCAGAGGGAGAGAGCCGCGCAAGGAAAGCTGGGAAGGTAGGCAGGGGCCAAAGCTGACAGGGCTTTGCAGGCCATAGTGCAGAATTTTATCTTTGTCCTAAGAATAAGAAGCTATTAAAGGAGTTTATGGAACTGCGTTGAGGAGTGTGGGGAAGGAGAGGGGAAGGGAAGTAACATAAGCAGATGTGTGTTTTGTAAACAGTTTGGCTCCATCAGAAAGGATTAAGGGAGTAAGTAGATGTGAATAGACCAGTTAGAGAGCTGTTCTCATAGTCTAGGGAAGTGATGATAGTATTAATAGCTGCATCTGGGGAATGGGGGGGGCAAGAGATGGAAGTAGAGGGAAGTGGGTAGATTGAAGAGGTATTTAGAAAATAAAATAGACAGATTTGGTACTAAATTGGATATAGGGAAGAAGGAATATCAAGGATAATTCCTAGGTTTGGGGGTCACATAAATTGATGAGTGTGCCTTTGATTGAGATATGAAACATTGGAAGAATGTCAGGTTTAGGAGAGGAAAGAAAGACTTCTACTTTCAGCATGTTGATTTTGAGGAGTCTGAGAGTCATCTAAGAAGATATGACTGCAGTTGGTTAGTTGGGAAAGAGGTCTGAGTCAGAGATATAAATCTGGGGGCCAATGGTATATAGATGGCTGTTGAAGTCTTGGGGTCTAACTCATCCATGGAGGATAGAAAGTGAGACATAAAGAGGGACTAAGACCAGGCTTTGTGTTGCTCCAACATTTGTCAGCCAGGTGGAAGTGATGAGCCAGCAAACACAACTGAGAAGGAATGGGCAAGGAAGTAGGATGAAAAGGAGAAGGATGATAATATCCTAAATCCCAAAGAATGTATTTCAACATGGTAGAACTGATCACCTGTGCCAAACGCTGCCAAGAAGTGGGAACATCTGATAAAAATGTCTGTTGGATTTAGTAGCATATAGAAGTCATAAGTGACCTTAGTGAGAACTGTTTGCTGGAGTGATGAGGCCAAAGGCAGATTCAAGTGGGATGGAGGAAGAGGGGAGGAAGAGCTGAGACAACAATGTGGAGTTGGAGGTGGAAGAGTGCAGAGATAAAACAGAATCTGGGGGTGGGAGTAGGAGGGCTCCAGTGAGATTGTTGTTTCTTTTTCTTAAAAGTATAGATTTTGACATAATTAAAGGACAAGGTAAAGGATCCAGTAGAGAGCAAGAGGTTAAATATTCCACAAAAAGATGGTTTTATTAATAATATAAAATTCTGGAGAAAGCAGGAGGAGAGGCTAGGATCAAAGTCCAGATGGAACCATTAACTTTCTTTCTTTTTTATTTTTTGTAGAGATGAGTTCTTACTGTGTTACCCAACCTGGTCTCAAACTCCTGGCCTCAAGCAGTCTTCCCATCTAGGTCTCCCAAAGTGCTGGGATTACAGGCACGAGCCACCATGCCTGGCTAGGATTGCTTTTTTGTAGGAGGAGGCACTGTTCTGTTGTTAGAAGAGGAAAGGGGCATAGGATGGGCACAGACACAGTGAAGTTTATAACCTTGGTACATGTGGTAGACATTATTTATTTACTTATTTTTAGTTATACAGGAATTGGACTAGAAGGCCAGAGATCTTAACTCTAGTCTTGGAGCTTCCCCCAAGTAGATTCTCAACCTTGGGAAAGTTATTTCTCATCTCTTTGCCCATTTTTAAAGTGAGGGTGCTATATCAGATTATCTATAAGGTTTCTCACAGCTGTTTTAGTCTAAGTAAATCAAGAGAAGGTAAAGTCCAAAATGGTAGAAGACTATTAACTTAGAATGTTAATTTTAGGTTTTCAAATGCAAGTGTTCACTTCCAGTTCAAGGTAATGAACCGAACCAATGTATTTAATCTCATCTTCCTTCCAAAATCCCACTAAAATGTTAAAATAAATGTAAAAGTAAGAAGGAAAAAATCCAGAGGAATTCTAGAAAGCTCAGAAAAGTATCACCAGCAGACCAGAAAACTATTGTGGGCCAGGTACTTCACTAAACTGTTTATATGTATTTGAATAATTCTAATGGGCAAGTGCTATTATTATCTAATTTTTAAAAATTGAGTAAATAGGCTGGGCACAGTGGCTCACGCCTGT